GTTTTTTTTTAGGGATGCACGATATATCGGCCACCATATCGGTATCGGCCGATAAATGCTCATTTTTTCTGTTATCGGTATCGGCCTGATAAGAAAATTTGGCCGATATCTTAAAGCCGATAAATAATGCATTATTTCCTTCAGAGACACTTCAGATGCGCGCTGTTCGTTTGCAGCCTTTTGTGCAATTGTACGTTGTAATATTGTGTTTATTTGATGTATATCTGATTTATCTCATATAGAATGCGTTTGGTTAAGTTAAAAGAGCGCTTCAGTTTACCGGTGATCGTCTTTAGCTCAGCGCACGCAGCTCAAACAGCAGTGCACAACATTAATAACTATGATTGGGAATGTCGTGTATATAACATTCTAATGAGAACATTATTATAATAAAACGTTGTGAATTCTATGGGTTTAGTTGTTGTGTTTCAGCGCGTTGTTATGGGAAGAGCGCATCCACAACAGGATCACACATTCTGACTATAGCATGCAATAACTGCGTCATTTGTCATTTCATATATAAGTTGTAATATTATGTTTATGTTGTATTAATATTAATCTCAGGATGCATTTCCTTGAGTTAAATAAGCTGCCAGCAAAACGCTTCAGTTTACCGTGTTCATTCAGCTCTTCAGCTTCAGCACGCGCAGCTCAACGGCTGCTATTTAAAACAGTGGTATTAATTTGTTACTTTTTCAAAATCATTGATATATTATTAATAACAACAACCACTTGTATTGTTCTCTTATTATTTTCATCAACAGTATGGTTTAGTAATTAAAATCATTTAATTATTGTCCGTGCAGAGGCTATTCCGTTTTATTGATCTATGGCGCATTCATTTTGATTCTTTACACGTGTAATGATGTCCAGTGACTTGTTTGCATTATTTATGCATTATTTTATTTATTTGTAAGACTTTTTTATGACTAAATTTGGTAATGGGAGAGTAAAAATATTTTTAAAACGTACACCGTTCAAACTAGGCTGCTTATGTTGAAGTGTTTGGGATGTGGCTTTTAATGATGAGACCTTTTTTGTAATCAGGCTCTCAAAAAGTATATAACAATTTGGATATAGATTTATCGGCCAACATATCGGTTATCGGCTTTCAAAAAATAAAGGATTATCGGTTATCGGTATCGGCCAAAATTTTCATATCGGTGCATCCCTAGAATTAACATATATATACAGTAATGATGAAGTATGTACAGTAGCCGAAGGGTAGTAACACTTCACAGAGAGCATCGTGTCGGGCACTTTGAACCGTCGACTTTATGTGTATTCATTGTAGACCTTGTAGACCGTCCTGAGGATGTAGCTACAGCAGAAGAATCGGACGACCCTGTTAATTCGGAAAGTAGCGTTCTTTATGTTTACACCCAAAGCACATTTCAAGGTATACATGGCACATGCGTTCCCTGGGAATCGAACCCATGACAGTTTTAGCGAAATTAGCGACAGGCTTGGATTCGGGCCACAGGTTGGGCTAAGGCAGGTGGCGTCTTCCGGTCATGTGACTACACCAGGGCGTAGTCAAACTGGCCCCGCTCAAAGCCATCCTTATGATCGGTCCAAGACGAAGCGGGCATTCGGCTGTAGGGGTCCAGCAAGATCCGGAAGCAACGCACCAACAGGAAAATCAAAAACAGCATCAGGAGACCCACAAACGCGAAGGCCGTCCTTTGCTCGGCATCGCCGCCAAGAGGTGGGCTGCTGGGGACCCCTGCGAACGACGGCCCCGGTGAGAGCAGCTCATAGTCCAACGTGGACACATCGCTCATCCTCCAGGGAGCACGACGACAGAACTTGCAAGCTGTCGTAAGGGTAGATTGGATGGAGAGACTGGTCAGATTGGTGTGGCGACCTCGATGTGGACAAACGAGGCCAAAGTCAACACTTTTGACTGCGTGACGGACACGCAAAGTGACACAAGTGGAGCAATCTGGGTCAAAATGACAGGCCTTTTTATTCCAGACCTGTCAAATCGGATCTGACCCGCAAGTGGCACGGCGCAAGCCGATGGGACATGACACAGCGGGCTGCCACAACGGATAAAAACAGCAAGGACTCGAGTCCCAAGCTCGTTTCTTTTGGCCGCAGGGATGAGGCTAATTGGCTCCAGATGGGACACGGTTTGCAGGTGTTGTCCCCACGTTGGGCGCCAGTTTACGGATCGCCCCACAGCAAGTATCCCATTTCTGGTTGATGCTGAAAAAGTCAGACAGCAAAGATCGGACGCCTAATCCGATCAGATCAATATGCGAATCTGGGAAAGCCGTTCGCTCAAGGGAGTTTGATTAGTGGGCTCCAGTAGGTGTGCATTAGGTTGATGAGTCAGAGATGATCTGTTCCTTCTTGCTTGTGTTTTCTCACACAGAACTGCTTGTAAGGTTGGTGCTATTGATCGAGTAGGGCTAATGTCTGGTAAAGTGTGGATTTCAGGGCCAGGATCAGATGTAGGCCGTGCAGTGTGTTTGGCCTCTGGTCTGTTGTACTTCACCCTGTAAACACACAAAATACACGCATTCAGCATTTAATCGGTTTAGTGGCATGACCATGAACTGTTCCTACCTAAAAACCTCCCAATAGAGAGATATTATATTCTTTTCATAAATGGCTTTACTTTATTGAACTGTCTACTGAATGTTAACACAAAATATGTAATATGTATATATAATTTGAAAATGTAAATGTATATTTAGTTTAATAAATGCATTTTAAATGTAATTTTTTTACTAAATGTATTCATGTATTTTTTCTGAGTATTTACAATCTTTTAAGCATTTCTATTTATATATAAATTAATAAGAAAATGAATATAAATTATATTATATTATATATATATATATGTATTTGAATTTATCGATTAAATCATTTAAGAAATTTAATAAAAGATAAAAAGATTTAATAGACTTAAAATTTACATTAAAAATGTATTTTGGTGAGCTGAATATGTCTATTAAATTAATAAGAATATTAAATGCATTACAATAATGACTGAAATAAGTACTTTGAAAAAACTTATATGATTTTCTCAATATTTTCAACAATTTTCTATAAAATCATACATTTTTCACATATAATTAAACACTATTTAAATATAATAAATCAAACAATTTTAATTTATATTTAATTTTAGAAATGTAAATTTATTAATCTGAACATTTCTGAAACAAAATGTATTTTTGACATATACACACACACATGTATATATTATATATATATATATATGTATTTGAATTTATCGATTAAATAATTTAAGAAATTTAATAAAAGATAAAAAGATTTAATAGACTTAAAATTTACATTAAAAATTTATTTTGGGGAGCTGAATATGTCTATTAAATTAATAAGAATATTAAATGCATTACAATAATGACTGAAATAAGTACTTTGAAAAAACTTACATGATTTTCTCAATATTTTCAACAATTTTCTATAAAATCATAAATTTTTCACATATAATTAAACACTATTTAAATGTAATAAATCAAACAATTTTAATTTATATTTAATTTTAGAAATGTAAATTTATTAATCTGAACATTTCTGAAACAAAATGTATTTTTGACATATACACACACACATGTATATATATATATATATATATATATATATATATGAGCACACAATTTTAATTTATTAATTGTTATTTTAATTTATTATTAAATCATTGTGGTGAACATAATACATCATGAAATGCATTGCAATGATGACTGAAATAAATACTTTGAAATAAAGAATTAAATTTCTTTTTTCTAAATTTTCTTTTTTCAATATTTTCAAAAATTTTATTTTAAATATCACAAAATATTAAGTAAGCATACACTGCAGTAATTATTCATTTTTAAATATCAATATAAATCTAAAACAATTGTAAAAAAAATATATATATCAAATGTAACAATATAAATTGAGCAAAAAAACATGGATATGATATAAAAAGGCCCTTCTTCTTTGTGAAGAAACCAAACCACCAGAGGGCAGAAGAAATATGGATCATACATATCAGGTTTTTCAGTAGATGTTGATCATGTTTAATGATGTGGAGGCCATATAAAGTCATGTATCAAATACGAGAGAGTCAATGAATGTTTCGACTAATCCAAGCAAAACTGACATAATTACCCTGACATTCTGCGTAATGGTGAAGCTGATTATAAACTGGCGATTCCAGCAAAAGCAGCTGTTGTAAATGTTGTCTTTATCCATCAGCGGGGCGTTTTAACGAATCATTAGCTGACTGCTGGAGGAAAGCAAATAAGCATTTGTGAATGATACAAGTCTCATTCTCTCGAGTGTCGCTAGTCTGGGATCACAGGATACGAAATGTCAGCAGACGATTATCTTAAACTTGTGAACAGCGGCGGCGTGATTAAAGCGATCGGACAGAGACGAGGGGAAAGATGGATGACGGGTGCAGAAATCACTGGTGCTGAATGGACGGGCCTGAGTGTCATGATGGATGAAGATCTGTGTAACACTGCAGGCGACGCTGACAAACTATCGCACTCTTCCTCACGCCAGCTCTGGCCACTTCATCACTCAGATCTTCCCTGACGCCGTTTTACAAGAGCCCACATCGGAGAGAACCTACTATTATAAATTATATTATTATTAGTGG